ACCATTTTACAGTTGATAGCTTACATCCGGATCTTGTTGGGGACGACAACATAGAGGTTCAGAGCACTTCGCTTCTAACCCAGGAGTGTAATACATATCCAAATGAACATCTGTGAGATGCAAAACACGCAGTGTTGGATTTCCAGCCTGTAACACTGATTGATCAAAAAGAAATAGAACAAATGGAACAAGAAAGGATAGGCTGAATTTATAGTCTTCTACTGCTCCTTAACCTGGTCTTGCACAGTACATATGTAACAGGGCACCTTTGCTGGTAAAGGTTGATGACTAGCAAAATAAGATACTCAATCAACCACTGTAAGTGTGGGGCTACCGCATCGTGGTCGGCATAAGAGACAGGGTCGGTACGTCCCACCCCCGCAATTCCCCTACACACACCCACCGTTTTCCTACACGTTCCCAGCCCCGTTTCAATTTTGTATTGCATAAGCTGGTCAGGAAAATAGTCTGTACGAAACGGAAGTACGACGCTTCTGCACAACACCACTTAAAGAGTTGTTTCCCATAGTCTGGTATCGACGTTATTGAATACTATTAGAGGGTGTGGGTCGGAGAAGGTAGCGAGTTAAAACCGTATTTTTCGTTCCGACTTCCCACCTCCACATCACCGCCTGGCAGGAGAGGCGTATCGACGAGCACAAACGAAAACAAAAACGTGCAAAGAAAGTGGACAATTGGAACCCATAATTATCATATATTGCTTAGTATTAAGGGAATATTCCTACTGGGACTGGTTGCTTGTCGACGGGTGCTGGCTGCCCGCCAGGCATAGGCACACTCCAAGTAGAGTTGAACGGATCCAAAAAATTACCACAGTCTTAAAAAAGGTGAATTAAATGTGAATTTTAGAACATATGCAAAGTGAAATAGCAGGACAGTAGTATAGAAATTTCCATGGCTCTCAACTGTTTGGCGTAACTCACCATCTAGCAATAGACCGCAAATTTGATGTGGCTCGACGATAATTTGTCCCAGTACATACATGAATTCGTCCTGAAATCCTTACGCCAAAAAGTTCTTTTTTCCGTATTTCATTTTCTGATATTCGCAGAAAAAAATGGAGATTAGTCAATCATAACAGTACGTCAGTTCCGCCAGTAAATATTTGTGTAGCATTTGTAGCATAGAGTAAAACCCGTAGAAGTTTTCGTTCACACGGAATGTTGAGAGATGGGGGGATAACATGAAAACCTAGGAAAATGCAAAATAAAACAGCAGGCATTCGACCAATATGTCAGAAACAGATCCCACGAACTAAAACGATAGTGTAGAGAAGCCCCCAAAAATTTGAGATTTAGAGAATTAGTGGGCTTCCAAACTTTCAGTAGAAGCTTTCACATCGTATTCATCAAGCCAGAAGAAGCACTGAAAAACAGCCCACCTTGAAGTCTCCTACAATTCCTTGGCAGATGAAATGGTCTTCAATTTTGAACGTCTGACAAATAAAGAGAGCTAGGTCGCCTGCAAAAAAAAACGATGGATTCTAAGCAACCAAAGATCGATAAACTGACTGGAAATGTGTATGTACAGCTGTTTTGTTATGATAACTGCTGTTTAACGCCGCAGTACGCGTTCCGAATGTTATCACAAGAATGCTGAGTTGTGGGCAAAAGGGTAAAAGCGGCCCTGGTGGCGTAACGGATAGCGCACTCGCCCGGAAAGCGTGAGGTGCGGGTTCGACTCCCGCCTGGGGCACGACTTTTGCCCACAACTCAGCATTCTTGTGATAACATTCGGAACG